CATTTAATATATATAAAAATCATTGAATAAGTCAAAAAATAAGTATAACTACGATAAATTAAAATTATTGAAGGACTTTAAAAAAAATGTTTAAAAAAGACGTATAATAACAGTTTTTCTTTGAAAGTTTGTGTAAATTTATAGATTAATGTTTTTTTATTTTTTTTATGCTCATGATATAGAAATTTGTTAACAATAAAACACAACAGTATGAAGTCTCCCAAGTCAAAGAACGCACGCGCTATATTAAAATTAAGCATTTACTTACATACACACATATGCATGTAGATATTTACCGTATTATTTGGGATATTTTGAAGTTCGAAAGGTCAAATGCTTTCGATAATATTTCTAAATGCTTACTAGTAATAATTTGAAATATATCATATATTTATAATATACATATACATACACTTATGTATATGATTTGTCTCAACTTATTATGTAATAATTGTATGTAACTATTAATACTTAGATATTTCAACACCAACAAGTGCCTTGCAGTCTATTTTCAAAAATACCGGTAATATCAGTTAGTGCGTTCGTTATTTCTTGTGATTAATTTTCTACTATATTTGATAGAAATATGCTGAATTAATACTTTATTCATATATTATTGTTATTGTTTATTTATTTTTTTTGTTTAACACTGTTAATGACTGTTTTTAATTTACAAATATCTTTAGTTAGTTTCATGGTAAATGCTGAGGATAATTCTAAACATAATTTTAATGTTTTGTAACATTCGTCTACCAATTTTAATTACAATAGATATATAATTCTCTAGTTGTTAATTATAATTTTGTTTAATTTTAAATATTAATTTCAATACAAATATGAAGGCATTATGTGTAAAAGAAAGTCTTTATATGTATTGGAATATGATAGTTAATTTAGTTAGTATAAATATTATATTATATATGTTATATGAGGCGGTAATAACCAAATTTGATGTTAATAAAAGTCAAAAACGACTAGACGCTATTAGCTTCAGCCTGTCGCTAAAAATTCACAAGTACATAGAATATTAGAATTTTCTAAACTTGTATGCAGGATTAAGTGCTTTAAAGAAATGAAAAGAATAAACACTTAAATTGATATTTTTTGTATAGAAATAAAAAACAATTTTCTAATTTCAAATCTTACACCGCATTGAAAAAAACTTAAAATTTAACATAAAATAAAAGAATGTGAAACAAGTTTATAATTACAAATTAAAAAAAAAATTGATATCAGATTTTTTGAGGTCGCATTTTCAATACTCTAAACCGATAAATTTTTAATTAAATTAAATTTTCTTTTTTTACTTCCAATTTTGAAATTAAAAATGTAATGTTTTAATTTAA